AAATGGCGGAGGTGGCTGCTGGTGGTGAAAGGCTAGTCGAGCGCGGTCGTAGGAGCCATGAGGCAGTGGCTACGCCAGATGGCCAGTGAGTCGAACCGTAACACGACCACTGGCGAGTCCAGGCGCTGTGCCCCAGTGAGTCGGGTGTGAGAGCGCTGGAGGGCCGAGGCAGTCGTGCCCGGCGCAGCCTGCCGATGCCTCCGAAGACCGAGCGCTGGCGACGAAGCCTGCTGGCTGAAGTTGCTTGATGTGAAACTGCTGAACTGAATCGATGAACTGAATAGAACTGAATCAATGAACTGAATAATCCGGCNAGTTTGTAAACCAGGTTCTGGGGACTTGTCAGTATACAGTCTGGAGATATTTAGTGGCTGGTTTTCTGTGCATTTAATTCATGTATATGGTAAGACATGGCACAACTAATCAAAATGTGCTATTTTCAGCACACCCTGCAGCTTATCTTGAACATGCAAATTGATTGATCTTGGTTTATTTAATACCACTTTCTCAACTGCGAGCATTATCGTTTGATGGTGGGACAACTGAGAATGATAAATAGAAAGGATGTGGAAATGGTCATAACCTATTTAAATGGGTTGTTTGTCTGAGGGGACAGAGGAAACTCATGGAAATATTCAGAATAGATGGCATTCAGGCTGAGATTTAAAGCTGAAACTTCTTGATTATGAAGTTGGAGAGCTTACCACTAAAGAACAATGTTCTACTGATGCACAGAGGTCTGTAGCAAATTTCATTCGGTATTTATGAAAAAGCATGGAAATTTCTGCATAGCACTAGTAATATATGTGCATTAAACTCATTTCGTTTCCCGGAAAGAGATATGTGATTAAAGTTTCTTTCTTATGATGATTTTAGAACGAAAATCTTAAGTAATAAGGTATTTATTTCAGAAATATTATCTCTGTGCAAGTTCCTATGTTTTTGTCTGTTACTGTACAGACAAGTTTCAGATGTTTCATACATTATCACCTGATTAACAGGTTCATATTGGAGTGCATGCCACAGAGGAGTTGTATTTTATAAGAAGTTAATCAATTTGGCCTGAAAGAGTTGGTAGGGTAACTTTATATTTTATCTTAGACTGGCTGCAGATCTAGCTCAGGATCATGCAAATGGCAGACGATTTTTCTCTGATATTCACTATTCTACTATTGATCTATACTGAATTATTACCAAATGTGAGGTACATGATATTATGATATTCTTGCCCTTTAAATTGGAGGGTTCATGTCTGCACTGGCACTTGGCTGGGAAAAAGGTAAGGAATAATTTATATGCACTTTCAAGACCCAGGATAGCAGAATCAGTAAAGTGACTAGCATGACTGAGGTTCAATTCCTGACAGGTGTATAAATGTTTCTCTTTTCCGCCATATCCATATTGATGTCTGGCCTCATATTCAGCATCTACTGGGGGCTCTTTCTCCAGCAGCTTGCACGAGAAGATGACCACTGACCTCCATCACCAGACCTTGTCAAGGTTAAAAGTGCTCTGCATTGTACCTGCACTCATGGCATGGTGCATAATTAAGAATATGGACAAATTTACCACTCACATAATCTTGAGAGAAGGTAGTGATACTGTAGAAAACTCCATTTAGACTCACTCTGTGGAATATCTGACATACAATCAGTAGAAGACCCTAGCCAACAAATCCCCTACCACACAAATGTGTGAATATTATCAGGAAGTTTATAGAAATAATCTTAAAACTTGAGACAGCAAAAATGAGTACTTGATCTTCATTTAGGAAATAATATATAATAGTAAATAATATAATTCCTTTATATTGTATGCAGATATGGTCCACCTATCAGTGCACCGCCAGAAAACTGCCTGCTGTCCGACTGGCCATTCTTTGAGCTGGACCCCAGACGACAACTGGTGGATGATTTAGGCTATGAATTATATGAGAGGGGAAGCTATGGTCATGGTTGTGAGATTAACCACTATAGCCCCTACCCAGAAGAGCAGTATGAGTTTCAACACCAGCATCACTACCACGAAGGGGGTGGAAGTGGACGTCATCCCCCATCACGTCCTCCCCCACGACCACCAGCGTATCCCAAACCCAGTGACGAACGTAAGGAATAAATCACTGGATAAATCAACTGATTCTGTGTCATAGTATACATTGTTATCAACAAAGCCTACTCTTAGATACTCTGCTTATCCAATTTTCATATGTAATCATCTTCTCTAGGATCCATTTTATCTATTATTATACTCCCATTTACGTATTATCTCATGATGGAAGATGGTTCATCCAGTAAAATATATGGGAATGATGCTGAAAAAGTAGGGTTTGATTCTTGGTGCAGGAATATACAGAGTAGCTCTGGCTCTCACCCAGTTTCCTGTGCAATGGCTACCATAGCCTCTTTGCCCAAGGGTTAAGTAGCCAAAGAATGAAACTGGTCATCGTCCTCCATCCAGTGCATAAAAATTTACCATCGCTCCCTTTGCATCTCTGTGGGGTGGTGCTTAAGCACGGGGACAGATTTACCTCATTTTGCTGCTTAAGCACAGGGATAACTTTACCTCACTTGGTGCTTAAGCATAGGACAAATTTACCTCAGCTGGTTTATACCTAGTCATAATTTTATTTTGCAGCATCCTGTTGCACATAATTAATTAATTAACAAATGCCTTAATGTTCCATCTTGAAAACCGCATAATGTGAATGCGGTAACTTTTAAACAAATCTTTACAGAGTGTTGCATGTAAGATGGAACAATAAAGACATTTATTAATTAAATACCTAGTCATTTTCCTGATAACTGCCCTCTAAAATATGTATATATCTTAACCCCTCAAGTGACAAAGTTAATCACATTACATATGTCACTGAAATGAGTTAGAAATTATGTTCCCCTTTTGTCATGTTCAACATAGCAAGAAATATTTCAAATAGACGTTACAGATCTTATATCATGAAATATATCTATTATTTTGCACCATGGCTAAGCACAATAGATCACTGTAGGTCGCGGTGCAAAGGCCGAGAAGGCCCTCCCCTTATACATTCATTGTACAATGGCTACTTTTGAGAAAACTGATGAAGTTTGAATTTAGTTCCACATAAAGTGAAAGGTTATTTTATGTTGATTGGTGTGTATGCAGAATGCTATGTGGTGTATGGGGGTCCAGCCCGTCTGCTTCCTATCGTTGTACGCAGCTCTCTGGATGTCCCTACAGAATTGGACTGCAAAGCCGAGTGCACCCGGGCACGAGAGAGCTTCAACTTCTTCTGTACTGCTCTCAGCTTCCGGTCTGTTTTCATAAAGAAGTTATTTACTTTTATCTTTCTCTTGGCAGCATGAATTTCATCATCTAAGGACAAGTTATGACCCTCTAGCCTTAGGACCAAATGGAAACCTCATGTTTCCATACCAAATAAGGGGTAACATTTCAGCACCAATACAGAAGTAGAAGTGTGTGACCTGACACTATTATGGCGAAGGAACCATGCATTGTTTTACAGTGCGGTAACAATTAAACTGTCCTAGCACAACATTAACTTAACATTACATAGGTTTTTAATCTGATATTTCTGAAGTCTTTGTCTGAAACAAAAAGAAAATTACTTATAATAAACGCATGATGCACAATGAATGCAAAATATGAACACTGTTTGATTGAATGGGCATATTAAGTATTAATTCCCTAAATATATTGCCAGCCCTGATAAGACTTTAATTGCAGATGAACAGTGAGCAGCTGACTACTTCAGTGCACTACCTAAATGGACAGCCTTAGCATAAAACTGCCCTTGTCTTGCAGATCAAGGAATGTGTATCATCCCAACCCTCGTTATGACGAAAACGTTCCAGAACACAATTGTCTTCTTAGTGACATTGAGCAGCGTGACCTGAGACCTGGACTGGACTATATACATGACAGCAACAACTGGATGTTTGCTTGGAACTTCCTGGATCAGCGATGTGACCTCATAGCACACAATCCAGAACAACAACACAGATTTGATGGACATTACATTCGTAAGTGGCAGTGCTAATTTAGTATGTCCTCATGCATTGGTCAAAATAGAATTGCAATTTTATAAGCAAAGATCCTATTCTCTCTCAGGGTGGTTCAGTGACAGGCTCATTTGAGACTAGTCATGAATCTTTCAGGTTCTATAAAAAAGCAAGGAATTTTGACTAGCTGAGCAACTACTAGCTCCTAAAGGACTATATTCCACAGAGTTAGTTAATTACTGAATAATGTACAAAACAGTTTCAGTAAAAATTACAGAAGCATAAATGGGAAGAATAGGACATTGTTACTCTATTACTGCCAGAAAACTTGAAAATGTTGCGCAACTGAACATTAAATAACTTCTGCACATAGCTGCTGCCAGAATATTTTTTTTCCAAGGGGGGTAGCCAATAATTTGCTTACATGCAAGTACTTATATTTAAGCTCTTTAAGACTACTTTTACAGATAACCTAGAGTATTTAGCATAGAAAAATAGTTACAAAAAATACACTTTCAATTTTTGATATTAATACATATTTCTTACATTTCCATCTATTTCCTAAATGATTTATTTATTTATTTCATTTTTCTTTCCAAGAATCCAGAGTTGTGGAGCAGGACCTGCCACCTTCCTGCCAGCACCCATGCTTCCACACCCAAAATTTTGTTCCCAATATTGTGAGAAATGTGCCAGTTAATGTGATGATATAATGTTATCAGGGCATACGAATTTTGGTTAATCGTTGTTAATTGGTTGTAATGTTGATTACAACACCCGCAACCAAAAAGGGAACACACAGCATGAGACACGATATACACTGAGAATAAGAGGAACGACTCCCATAGTGGTGGAACTATGCGCGGTGTTAGAATTGGGACAGATAAGATAAATAATCTTAACAAGTTTTTAGTATATAAATATTTATTATAATTGACAAACATTTTTAAATACTTTTTAAATGACATAATGGCAAGCAATGCAATAGATTAACGTAAATGGAGCACCTGATGATGGCACTATAGTGCCGAAACATGTTGTGAAATAATAAGTGAAATTGAGTGCACTAAAAGACGGACACTGCAGACATATCATTGAGGGATAAAACAGAAAGAATAACCTTATTGGTCAGCCAGAGCCAAGGAATAGCAGAGAATCAAGAGCCTTTCCTCTTTCATTTTTCATTAACCAGGAGAAGACCCCCGATCCCTGGCTATGTGTGGCCAGACTTCATAATCTCTTTCCCTTGATTACTCTGCATCTCAGCCTGATGATGGAGGCACCAGGTTCTTCCAAAATGTTGGTAAACATCTACAAGACTACAAAATGTCAAAACACAGATGACACAAACTAAACTGACACACCACATGCTATGTTGTCATGACTCAATTGCCAGCATCTTTTTGCAAAAACGGGATTGACTGATCAATAAATGAGAGAGTTTCTTACATAAGCCCATTTAACCGTTACACCTTCACACAGTATAGAGTTATAGTGTTACAAGAAATGCTATTTTACATGTTTATTATCTCCCACTCTTAAGTTGAGATTGTTCATTACCATCATTTTTTTTTAATTCGCTTAGTGGGGGGTGGAGTTAGCTTCAGAGAATATGAAATGGAATATGAAATACAGAATATTTCCAATGAATTTAATGTCCCTTGTTTGCCTGTAGCGGGTCGAGTGGATGTGCAAACATGGCAGCGGTTTACCGTGTCTGGAAGGCCATGCCGTTATGGAACAGAATGCATAGAGAACAGAGAGGCAGGATTCTGGTACTGTGAGTTGGAGGGCGGGGATGCCGGAGCCTGGGATTACTGCTGCAGGCCTGGACACCAGTGTGGCTACTCAGAGGGCTACAGCTACCCATGGTGAGAGCCTGAACTTCATTCTTGGGTTATTTAGCACTTTCTATGACCAAAACTGTTCTACGTTTACTGAAGAAAGGTTAATATATATGGTCATAATTGCTGCGGAGTATTTACATGGATCGTGTTATATATAAAACACAGTCCAAATGGATACTAATGTTACGAATGTAGCAGCAACATGACTGAATTGCAGAATAAAGAAAAATAGCTGTAACCATCACTTCTTCTTTGCAGGTGCTATGTAGGAAGCGCTGCAAGGGACCAATGGAGACCTTGCAGTGACCACTACTATCCTTACTCTCATGATCCACATGGAGGCCCTCAAAGACCACCACATGGCCAACATCATATTGAAGCATTCCACTATGAAATGTACGGCCCCCCACGGTACTGGCCTGTTGCTTATCTGCATAAAGATGCTCCACCTAATTCCACCACACTTATTTTGCCCCCAGGAAATAAAGATTCTGGGTCCCTTTTATCAGGGTATGGTTCACATATTAATGGTGGGATTGAGAATCACGTAGACAGTAACAGGTACAATTATGGAAAAAAACTGACTTGGCTCACCCCAGACAACAACACAGGCTCTCATACTGCAACAGTGACAAAGATTGATATTGATAAAAGCAAGGATCAGAATATGAAAGATAAGATGGATCCATTGTTTGTACTTGTAAATGAATATGATTCATCAGGTACTGAGACCAAAAAGGACCACAAATTGACTGGAATGCCAGAGGCTGATATGAAAACAACAACTAATGCCCCTACAGGAGTCACAAAGCTGCAACCACGTTTTGTGACCCTTCGGGAACAAGATCACAAGTTGTCAAAGCTTGTTGCAAGAGATACTGTTCCAGGGGAAATTAAGCATTGGAGTTGGAAAGGAAATAAAAATGAGGAGGAAGAGGTAATGAGCAAGGTAATACCAACACCAGTGGAGTTCAGGCGGAAAATGTCGCAACAGAGCAGTAATGGTGATGCAGGAAATGTCACGGTAAAAACCGTTCAGTTTCAGTTAGCTGTGCCTCGAGGAACTGTTACTAAATTGTGATTTTTCCTTTTGTAAGAGAAAGCTGTGTTTTGGAAAATGGGCCTCAGATATCACTGCCTATAACTGGACTTTCATTCTCAGATATGAAACCATTATGTTCATATCAAAACATTGAGCAGGATAGCATACAATGAGTTGTGATGTAGAAACCACACCAGCACTGTACAACTACAATATGCCAGTATGAAAATATTTGTGTAGACATGGTATTTTTATTATGATATCATATGAACACTGTGGAATGGCACTCCAAACTTTTCTCCTTAGGCCATTGATCTTTGGCCACTGCTGCATAAAGCTCATATAAATATACAGATAATGACAACTTTCAGCACTTGTTTGTAAGTCAGTGTTCCATTTTTTATACATTTTATGCATAATGTGTGTACAATGAAGTCATAAAGGTGAAGTTCTGTGAATCCAATAGTGCATACATCCACCCATCTACACATTTGATCTCTAATTCCTCAAAGTATTTCATTTAAATTAGTTACTGAGAGTACATAAGAAGATGTCAAGAAAATTTAATTTTTGTTTGTATCAGTCTAATGTCAACCTTATCTCTTATGAAACTAAAATCAAACTCCATCATTCATCAATAATGGCTTACTGTAAAAGAAAAATTAGTAAAATATTAAATGTTAATGTTAAGATCTACAACTTTCTTTTGAAATGATGTTTGATGAAGTATAAGTTACAAAAATACACAGAAAAATAACTGATGATTGTAGCCAGTGTGACTGAACTTGCAGCAGTAGTTTTGTATCTGCAATAAGTTAACATTAAGATCAATGAAATATACAAAATATCAAAGAAATGTGTACTCAGTATTAGGGAATTTGTTCATGTTTTTCATACTCACTCATATTTCGTTTCTAATTTATTTTAATTTTTTAATAGAGATGGTTTTCTTTGAAACATGAGTCATATAAATCTTTCAAGACCTTAGCATAAAATATCAAAAGAGCTTCTCTCAAAACACCCCTGCATTTTTCTAACATGTGTGGGAACTATGTACCGACAGCCTGTTTCCAAAGGATGAAAATCTAAGGCTACAAAAATGTCTATAATAAGGGACCCAGCTTCACAACTCATTAAATCAGCTTTGTTTTCAACCATGGTATTTGTCGTAGAAATCACTGTGTTTCATTCTGCTTAAGTGTGTATTAATTTTCACATTTTGAAAAAATTGAAGAGGCCCATTTTCAAAACAAGTTACAAAAGAATTCACAGACATCAAGGTTTGGAATCTTTTCAGAATTCTGTTTCCTCTGTCCTTGGTGAGATTTTAGAAGATGACTTGAAAGGCAAAAATTTGGGAAGGTGACTTGAAACATTTAACTTGTGACCAAGTTACTTGAGTTAATGGGAAAAGAAAGAATTCTGAAGTTTGTTCTTGCACCAGTGTTGCTGGAAAAGAGTTCTAAATATTAACGTCAAAGGTGACTGGATTCCTAAACAAATATTTGTAGCTGAATATCTGTAATGTGCATGGTACTGAAGGAAAAAATCTAATTTCAAATGCAAATAGCAGAATACAGGAAGCCCTTCCCCAGTATGCATTTCACCGATGCCGATTTACCTATACATTAAAACCAAATACCAACACTTATCCTTGAATGTGGAAATTTTTTAATATATGCAGTCTCCCAAACCTGCTCTTATATTCTATGTGCCAACATGTATGCCAGCATTTTCTTCTAATATCTTCAACAATAATCGTACTGATCCTAATGATTCACTGGCTTCAGAGAAATAAGCCCTCTGCTTCTAAATGCATGATCATCAACAGAAGTCTTTGGCATCATCATTCATAGGTAAATAATTTACAGTAAAATATAACATTTAATATACTATATTTCTATTTACCATATGTTAACAACATAACATTTATGGTTTCATTTTGTCTTTATTATTTTATTATGTTTTTATTTTATATACAGTATTTGTGTTTTTGTAGTCCCCTTTTCTTAGTATAAATTGGAGGCTTTATGTAGCCACATTGACAAATCCTCACTTAACTAATTAGGTACTGAGTTTACTGAATGCATATTTACCTACTATGCTAATATTGATGAATCTAGATCTCACAGGGAATGAGGGTTTACTGTATTATGAAAAAAAAAACAAAACAAGATTATTGCTACAGTATGTTACAGATGTATTCAGAAAATCACCTATCCATCCATCTGTTAGAAACAGCACCTAAACCAATGGACTGACTTCACTTAAATTTGGTATGGTAGACCTATGATAAATTTATAAGATTTGAAGTTTTCATTGCAGTGAAGATTCATACTGTGGTCTTCTGATTCATGATATTGTGTCATACAATAAATTTTATCAAACCATTCTCATTGTGGTTTACCATTGTTTCATTTTGTAAGTCACTTCATACAATGGTAAAGGTAAACTTGTTATCTTTATTAGTCTTACGAGATTTTGAAAAACCTACATGCATGGACTTCTTGTTATATGACAATTGCAAAGCAAGTTTCATTGCCTTTAATTAATTTTAAAGGAACTAGTTGAACTTTACATGCATTTCGAGTTTCAGCAGTAACAGAAGAGGTAAATTATTTATGGTACTGATCCTGTATCCTAAGGAATACAATGCGACAGTACCAGTTGATAAATGTGCATTAAAAGATAATGGAATATTCATGTTATGTTACTTGAGTAAAGAATGAAGATGTTCACTGCAGAAATTTCCATCATTTTTAATGATGGATAATAATTAATATTTAGAACTCCTTTTTCACCAATTCAAGATGAGTTATGTACCTAACCAAATGTTGGTTAAAAAACATTTTAATATACTGCATAGATTTCAGTCATTTGTAGAAATGTTTTACTTGAAACTTTTGTACAAACACAAGCATAATGTTTTTATGCATACTGTTTATGTGGCATGAATTGTAATTTCTCAGTTTGTTTACAATAAATTATGTTTTGTGTACATTAAATAGTCAGGTAAATCATGTTTATCAAAAAAAAATTACATCTCTTTCATCAGCAAACTACCTGTTGTCGCATGTATTTGTCAAATATACCATGCAGAGTATAACTGCCCCATAAATGGTTTCAAAGAAAACAAAATACTTAATTCTCAATAAGGAAATCCTATACACTTTACTGGACATACTGCTGAGGGATGAGAAGGGGTCCTAATTAACCTCCCGTCCTGTTCTGCTACTAAATGATGAATTAGCTAGGTACATAGTTACTTTGATTCATGTAGGAACTTCCAGGCTGACCCAGTTAGGATTATAAATGTTAGGTCTTGGTAGAAAAATCTTTGTAAATGTGGTAAAGTTCAAATATTTCATAACAGCATTAACAAATCATTTCTCTTTCACTAAGAAGTTAAGACCAGTTTAAATTTCAGGAATGATTTGATTCAGAATAATTTGTCTGCTATTCTCCTGTATTAAATTAATTAAAATATACAAAGCTATAGTTTTGAGGCTACCTGATTTTCTTGTACAAGCATTAAACTCATGATAAAGGTATACTTACAGGAGGAGCTTTGTGAGAAGTATGTGGCAGCAACACAATTGCTATATTAGGCATGCTGTGGGTTGACACGTGTTCAAGAAAAGGTAGAAAACAGATTGGAATTTCCTGGTTATTGTGTGGTGATAATCCTTGAATTACTGTTGTGTTACAGTCAGGTATCAGTGTACACATTGCTGTTTATATTATACATGCATTTATATAGCTTTGAATAATGAAAGATGTCTTAATTTTACTAAAGCTACTTAGTAAGTAATGCAGAATTTTCAATATCTGAACTGAAATATAAGTTTTTCAGTGTTCACAGCAGTGAGTGTTCAGACTGTGGTCTTCTGGATTGTAAGAGTGTGTAGTAGCAGTACCAATTAACGTCTACATATTTAATCCATCAATAATGCAACAAATCATTAAAATAATCACTATTCAATACCAACACAACATGTTTCGGCCACAGATGGCCAGCCTCAGGTGTTTCGATGCACCTAAATTGTTACACTGCTTTGATGCGCGCTAAAATTGCACATTGCAGTCCACTTAAATTAAAATCTTTCGTAAAATCCTATTGCACCTCGTAAGGGGCGCCGTCCACATGTGATGTGCGTATTCCAGACAGTTTGCTCCAGCAGCTACATCTGTGATCTGAAAAATGCCCCTTGTTTGTGTGCTGATCCCTTGGGCATCGTGTGGTGTTCTCTCCACAAATTCATTAATTTTTCAAATATTCTCTTTTCTCTCTGTCTCCTTCAAATTCATCACTTAATTCTAATCCCACTGCTTTCTATTCACATTCTACAAACACTGTCATACTCCAAGAACTACAAAGAAGCAGGCAAAACAGCACTGAAATCCTCATGGGAAGTGTTCAAATCAAAGTGTTTGCAATAGCTTAAATAATAAGAAATTATGAGTCTGATTTTACTATTTTCATGAATTCTTTCCATTCCTAATTTTAAAATTTAATCTTTTACTTGCTTTGATGTATTGGCAGAGAAAAAAGCAGATTCAGAAACTGTAACTTTTAGAGGAATCCCAAGTAGACACTTCTTTTACTGTGATTGTTAACATGTTAGATATGGAAATTGTTTTCCTCATGTTAATATCTATTCTCTGAATCCTCAGTATAATTGTACTCAAAGTCAGTGTATAAAATTTTCATAATTTCAGAAACAAGTATTTGCCTCTCAGTGCACAAAGTTAAATTTAAATGACACTTCTTAAGAAATGGCCTAACCCATGTTCTGTTTCTCCTTCTCCTGTATCTTCTACTAATAACTGAGTGTATGGTTATATAAGCAGCAGCTCACTATTAAATCCATGACCAAACATTTTTAAAAATAAAGTTAAATATTTGAAAGAGGTATCTAGCACTTACCTTGACAGGTAATATGCTATAGTGTAAATAAAGGGCTCCATGTACCTGGAAGTTTTTCCATGTTGCCAATAACATCAGGGAAATTGATTGACAAGGCAATAGATTTCCACCAACATTGCTGGCAACATACAGCAGTAAAATTGCCAAACATTGCCAAAAATTGATCAATTTTTGTTGCTTGTCTAAATGTAAATTTAGGGAAGAACATGTATTGAACATGTTGAGAATAGTGTGCCGAGGATTTTTTTCTTATTTATTTATGATTTATTTTGTGGCACTTCAATCCATTCTTGCCCCAATCTGCTTTTACCTTTATTTCTTCTACTTGCTACGGGTTCCATTAAAAAATAATTCATTCTGGTTTCTGCATTGGTATAGGTAATGTAAACTGCTCTATATAAATTTTGTTTTGATTCTATTACTTCTGTGTTATTGCATCAGTTTGTTGACCTAGTGACTTCATGGTTTTATTTTTTGTGTGAGCTTGGCTACAAAGACAGAATTTGAGTGTAAGAAGTAGTAGGGCTGCTACAGGGTGAATGTCCAGAGTTCAATTATAAGAATACAGGCCGGGGTGACTCAGTCGCAAGTACAGTGACTTGCTATAGGCTGGGCGTCCTGGGTTCTATTATAAGAGGTAAGCAAGGGTAGCTCAGTCAGTAGAGTGACCAAATGCAGAAAGATCATCCAGAGTTGGAATCAGTCAGCATTGTGACTGATTACGGGGTGGATGTAATGGGTTCAGTCAGACAAAATAAGCCAAGGTGGCTCAGTCAGTATTACAGACATGTGGGGTTCAATTATTTGATGTGGTATATGGCAAGATTTTACTCTGCTCCGCAACGTTCACACTGGCTCTGGAGCCCACACAGCCTCCCATCCAATGGGTACCAGGGGATCTTCCCCTGGGGCAGAAGCAGCCGGGCTGTGAAGCCAGCCACTTGTTTCCAACTAGTGCAGAAGTCAAGAACTGTGGATCTATACATCCACTCCCCCATACGTCTTTATGGTGTAGTGCTTAATTAGTTAAACACAAGGATAACTTTACGTTTTTACTTTACGGTCAATAAAATTGACTGGCTACTGTCTGTGGCCTGGGTCCATTTATATGAGGTAGGGCGAGGCAGCTCAGTCAGTATAGTGAATGGCCATGGGCTAGACGTCCTGGGTTCGATTATAAAATGTGAGGAGAGGAAGACTGTCATCATACTGGGTATTATTTATAGTTATTTCTTGTTGTACCTCCACAAACGCGTCATGTAATATTACATTATTTTTAAACTTACTTCAGATTGAATCAAACGAAAAACACTTTCTTAATTTCTACTATTTAATGAGTGAAGTACATCATACTCGGGAACAAGTATAAATCACCAGAACAGTGTTTCTTTGGGATTTTCGGGACTGTTTTGTGGTAGTATTACAAGCACTACACCATACTACATTTACCACCTCATACCACGGACACTAAACAAACTACAATTCTTAACTCTTTTACGAATCACGGGACAGCGAACGTACTTCGTTATCACTGCTCCGAATTAGAGCTCTGATACGTAAATAGCGAGTAGGATCTCTAAGATCGCAAAGAGAATAAGGAATAATTAGTTTGACTGTTTCGTATGTGTTTGTTCGTTTTCTTTTTCGATAGTTTGCAACAATGGCATTATTCGTTGGTGCCGATTTGTGTCTTCACATCGGCATATGATCCGTGGTCATGTGGGTCATGTCTGGTCGTGTGTTAGCTATGTGAATGATGCATAACGCAAGAAAATAGAGGGTACCTGTGCCGATGTTGGTTATAAGTAGGGTTCCCAGATAACCCGTTTTCCCCGGATTCTTCCGTTTTTTCACCCAAATTTTGTTCCTCCGTTTATTGTTTACCCGGAGTGGATATTTCTCCGTTTTTTTATTTAAGTCCATTGCGAATTATATTTCATGGGTTAAATATTATCATAAAATTTCAGTAATCCTTGGAAAATGACATTGTTATAGTTTCTTTCGTTATGTTGCATTTCGTGAATGTTGGCAACACTTGAGGTCTAAACGAGAGCAGAATATTTTGTGCGTTCTATAAATATGTAATAGGGGTACGTAATATTTGTTTTGTTCTATAAATGTGTAGTAGGCCTATGTAATACCGATGTTTAGTAGCATTTTGTAAGTTATGTAGTATGTTGATTATATATATGTTATAGGCTATTAGTTGTGAAAAATGTCGTTATAAACAAGCAACGAGACATCACTCCTTTTTTTTATTTTACAAAATCCGGCAATCCTAGTTATAAGACAAAGTTAGTTTTGTTGACAGATTTTGGTTGAAAGCATGAAATTAGTTATATGTAAAATACGACTATAATGAGAATTTATTAAATATCTTTGTGTAAGATGCTTCTGAGTACGCTCTTATACCTATACCTCAATTTTCAGAGCTTAAAGAAATGTAGTAATCAACTGGTATATTTCAGGTAGAGGTTGCGTGGCATAAGTAGCATATGCCAGAATTGCTAGTTTAAAGGATTTCCCGTGATTTATTAGTTTATGTAATCTTATTTCAAAGGATCCTTTAATTGAATCTTACAGAAGTACGTCGCTTGAATGTGATGTGTTCAGGTGGCATTTATTTGTATAAATTTTTTATTAGTGCAGTAATATTATTGTATTACAAGACGGACTTTGGGCCTTAATATTATATTGCGGTCACCCATATTTCCCAAGTGTTTGCCTTGCAAGAGTACACCATGCCGAACTTGTTATGCACTTGTTTTACTGTATAAAGTGACAGAAGCAACATAAATGGGGCCACTTACAGTCATTTAGCCGCAGTTACTGACTTCTGGAAGCAGTGTACAGGAAGGTCGTCTAAGAGCCCCCTGAAAATCTGAAAATCTTTTGCCTGGTCATGCAAGAGGGACACAGGCTACTTGTGTCAACTCGCACTGTACATGTTCAGACTTGTGGCATAGTTGGCAGGCCAATAGCCAATACACATTTCAAATTAAACCTCCACATCATATCAGATTCTGGAAATGCTCCCCGTTTCACACACATTTCTAGAACCTGCACACTTCACTTTCAATTTCAAGAGTTTTGTGTCACTTAGTGCTGATGTTTCTGGAATCCTGGGCTCCTGTGCAAGGCATTTCAGGGCTTTTGAAGAAGAATGTTTAGGCCTATCACCAGTTTCATCCATTACTCTTCATCAAGCACTCAGCATTGTGATTTGGTTCTTATTTGTGCTATAACAACCCTGTCTGTCATTATTTATTTGTTGTTGCATGCATAGTTTTTTTCTGTTTTTAACTGTAACATATTGAAATTTATGTCAGTATCATCACATCCACACAACCACTTTTCACATAGATATAATACACGAACACTTGTTGCTCCATTATGTAACTTAGCTGCAAAATGTTGACATGGGAAATAACATATCTGAGTCTTACTGCTTATCACATAGGTCAAATACAGTAGCAGTAGCAACATGAGGCTTGGGATTTATTAATGGGCCAGCGCATTGTGCATAATCTTCCCTCACTGTAGCTGTTGAGCAGCTTATTTGGGTTGTACTGTTCAAAGGCAAATTGTAATGTGTATAGGCTCTTGGTTTCTTGACCACACCTTGAGTCCCAATGTGCATAGTGCAAGCTGATGCAAGTAGCCTGTGTACCTCTCACTCTACCAGCCCAAGAGTTTTCAGGAGGCTCTTGTATGACTTCCTACTCTACAGCAAGTTAAACAATAAATGCAGACAGCCAGACAACACTTGGAAATACAGGCACTGAATAACCCTTATATACCAGTACCATAAAATAGGTTATAACAGTAGCCATCTCATTGTGTTCTGGATGATACATGTGAAGTATGCAGCTTGTTTATAAAAATAATTAAAACAAGGCAAGGAATAAAGAGAAGGTTCACACTACCTTGTTTAGACTTCTTAAACCAACAGAGTATGATATTAAGACACCAGTCATTCAGCATTAACTCTGGAGCAGACCCCCTGATGCTACAGTGAGATAAGTGGAGCAGTAGTTTTTTATGGTTTTCTTTGATGAAGCGCCTGTTATCTAATTTCTCTGTAGTCAGACTCTTTTTCTTTTTGACTAGCACATAACCTGTTGTAGAAACATGACAACTTTCTGACCATGAAGAACTAACAAGTTCTGTTGAGCCGAGTCCTTCAGAAGCTAGTAGCTACTTCAGAAAGCCTATACCTGGCCCCTAGCTTAAGCCATATGAACCCAGTTCACATTCTCCCATACAATGTTTCCTAAGGCTCATCTTACTGTTGTTCTTCCATCTATGTCTAAGTCATCTTAGTGGTCTCTTTGCATCAGGTTTTGCTGTCAGAACTGTGTGTTTCATTTCTCACCCTGTCCATCTAATTGTTCCATTTCCTTGTCCTTGAACCCACTGAATAAAATTAATCTTTTGTGTATATCAGTTTTTATGCCGTTGACTGTGGTTGTGGGAAGCACAGGTAGATGGGAACAGTAGTTTTAGTATGGGAGAGAATAGAATTTATCTGCCCCATTTGATCCCATTGAATAAGATACGTTCGGTTTTGTGGAGAGAGCATAACACACCTGAAGAATTTGTAATTTAGTTTATTTAAGCTGAGTGAAATTAAATTTAATTCTGATAATTTTGTTTTCAGGCGTGTGCTGGTGTTATGTTTATAAGCATTAACGTCTGAAATCAAATGTCGTGTTTAGAATTGAGGATCCCTAAACGGGCAAAGTTTATACAGTCAAATTATGAAAGGAACATAAACAGAAGCAGACTATTAGGCTGGGCAGATGAGACACTTTCAAAACTAAAATCAGACAGAAATTTTCTAAGGCGAAAAGTAAAGAAGACCAATGATGAGGAGAACGCAAGTGTTGACTCTGATATGACATCTTCAAAAAAAGATAAATGTGTAAGGGAAGAAATCTCTCAGTTGAAATCAAATGAAGTAGCAACATACGTTTCAGAAATTGTGACTTCAAAAATGAAAAGAAAGATACAGCATATGGCATTCGATGGCAGTATCACAAGAGAGAAGCAGAAAAGCAAAGCTTCAGATAAGGAACGTATAACTAATAATGAAGCAGATGAGAATTGTGATAAGCATTATGAATTAAAATCTAAACATAAGTTGGATGAATCATTCAGTGAAGACCAAGAAGGTGATCTTTGTAGGCATGAAAAATGTACAAGGAATAGGAAGAAAAGGGAGTATAATGAAGGGAAAATTTTGGAAAACACCTGTACAGAAAACCTATTGTCAGACTTCAAAGAAAGATCAAAGAAGAGGGACAAAGTGATGGAACATTACAGATCTCAAGGAGTTAGTTGTCGCCATTTTTGTAAATGTGCCTCAAAACAAATTAGAAGTCAGAAATTAAAGAAATATAGAACACCTGAAGATTTTTATTCAGTTAATGAAAATGATTCCGCTTCAGAGAAAGTGAAAAATGCTGCTACATGTAAACAAGATAAGATAAAAAAATTAAAACAACCATTGAACAGTATATTAGAAGAGGGTGACCAATTAAGTGATGCAGATATACCTAGAGAAGATCTGAAAGAGAAGAAAAAAGAAAAGAGGTACTGTACACATTCAGTTTCAGAGGAATGTATCTCAGAAAAAAAGAAACTGAAAAAATATAAGCTATATACACAGAAATATAAATCTGATGAAAATATGTCTACTTCAAGAAGAGAGAGTGAGATGAATGACAGAGAAAAGGAGGCATTTGAAGGATGTTGTGGTTTGTGTGAAAAAATCAAAAGAAAAAAGCACAAACATGACCATACGTTCAACGAAAAATGGGAAGAAGCAAAAAAATTGAGTCATTGGCATAGTTCCTGCAAAACTGAATTTGCTTCAAGTAGAAGAGAACAAAATAATGGCACAGAAAATTCTCCCAACACCAAAGAATACAAGAGAAAAAGGAAAACTGAAAAAGATGATGCATACAGTGAAACTGAAATTATTTCAGAAGGAGCTAAGGAACACAGTGAATATGGTTATTATGACGACGGTGATTCAAGGCCAGGAAAGTGGAAGAAGAGAAAGAAGGAAAAAGAAAATTATGAGGTTTATGAAAATATAGCAGATTTAGAAGAGAGGGGTAAGAAGAGAATGTATTCTGATAGAAGTGGTATAAATGCAATGGAAGCTTCCTCTGTCCAAGAAAGACAAAAGAAGAAACACAAAGAAGCAGAAAAAGACAAATATTGTCATTTGCCAGTTTACATAGAAGGAAAAGGTAAAAAGAACACAAAGAATAATACACCCAAAGAAAATGCTAGTACCAGTGATGACCTGAAGACAGACAGGAATAATGTAAATGCAGTGGAAGCCTGTTCCACCCAAGTAAAGCAAAAGAAGAAACACAAAAAAGTTGAGAAAGAAATTTCTAATAATTTATCAGTTGACAAAGAGGAAGGAAGTAAAAAGAAGAGAAAGAAGAAGAGGCACGAAGAAAATGCTGGTACTGAGGATAACCTGAAGACAGACAGAAATGATGTAAATGCAAAGGAAGCTTCGTCAGTCCAAAAGAAACTAAAGAAAAAACACAAAGAAGTTGAAAAAGAAAAATATTATAATTTATCAGTTGACGTGGAGGAAGAAAATAAAAAGAGTAGGAAAAAGAAGAGACATGAAGAAAGTGCTGGTACTGAGGATAACCTAAAGACAGACAGGAATGATGTAAATACAATGGAAGCTCCACCAGTCCAAGGGAAACAAAAGAAAAAAAGCAAAAAAATTGAAAAAGAAAAATATTACAGTTTATCGGTTGACATGGAGGAAGAAATTAAAAAGAATAGGAAAAAGAAGGGGCATGAAGAAAGTGTGGGTACTGAGGATAACCTAAAGACAGATAGAAATTATGTAAATGCAATGGTAGCCTGTTCCACCCAAGCAAAACAAAAGAAGAAACACAGAGAAATTGAGGAAGAAAATGATTGTAATTTATCAGTTAACATAGAGGAAGGAAGTAAAAAGAAAGGAAAGAAGAAGAGGCATGAAGAAAATGCTGGTACTGAGGATAACCTAAAGACAGACAGGAATGATGCAAATGCAATGGAAGCTCCATCAGTCCAAGAGAAACAAAAGAATAAACACAAAGAAGATGAAAAAGAAAAATTCTGTAACTTATCAGCTGACATAATTGAAGAAAGTGAAAAGAAGAGGCATGAAGAAAATGTCAGTACTGATGCTAGCCAGAAGACAGATGAGTATGTGGAAGACCCTTCATTATTGGATGGTGCATCAAGTAATATAAAATATTCTGTGAAAGGAAGATATAATTCCAGCAATACAAGTCAGCGTCATGCAGAGGGAATGGAATCAATAAAATCTAAGAGAAACAAAGCTGTATCAGTAATCTCAAAGGAAAAAACGTGGACTGAAACTAAAGGCTGTGCAATAATAGAAGGTGACCAAAAATCTAATCAGTCTCCAGAATCAATGCAAAGCGTAGGCAACTTTAAAAAAAACGAAAGTAACTGCATGCAAATAAATGCATCGCATGACAAAAATATTAAAGAAAGCAGAAAAACATCCAATTTTGGTTTGTCGCCAATTTTTAGGTTATTAGCCACTGAACCTGATTTCAGTAATGCCACACATGTTTGTCAGACTTGCAGATGTAAATCGCATCCTGATGTTACACCCAGTGAGAGCAATGCAGGTGTAACTGAGAACATCGGTAACGTTGTTATTAAAATTGAACCAGGTGTAAGAATTAAACAAGAAAAAGAGGATATTGACAACAGTGAACCTCACATTATGGATCAGCAGGTATTAGCTGTGAAAAAAGAGTCACAAACTGAACTGGACACAGATTGCATGAATAGAACAGATGATGCTGTAAGAAACATGGAAAGCAATGATATATCCATGGACAATTTAAGTGATAAGGAAATGGAGGGATCTGCAGGAAATGGTATTGTTCAAAATGAATATTCAGTTGTGAAAGAAGGTATGGAGATACATAAAACTGACAATGAGTATGGTATAGGGGAATATGTGGAAGGCTTCAGTGATGAATGTGTAGTAAATGGAAATAAAGAAACAGATATTGACACTCCTTTTCATAATATTTATGATGATAAGATAACTGTGAAGGAAGAAATTTATCATTTGACAAATACGTGTTATTATCAAAATGACAGCAGAAACTATGCAGAAGATACATCAGATGTAAACTTAGATTTTGTAGGAAAGCAGACAACTGCTTGCACGGGTAATACTAATGAACTTACTACAGTTGGTGTTTTAGGTAGTACTTACAGCACAGTGACAAATGTGCATAGGACTGCAAGTGTACAAGAAGTGAATGGATTAAATTTAGATGCTGTGCTAAAGTGTGAACAAGCTACTTTGAATGAACCACAGAATAGGTTCATTTTAGACATAATTCCAAAAGCAGCAAATATACAAAATACTACATGGAATGAAGATGAAGCAGGCAGCTCGTATTGGTCATCTGTAAATATAAATGAGCAGCAGACATCTCAGTTCAATGATATTGAACCATTTAGAACTGGCCGAGTCAATTTCACATATGTTCCAACATGGTAAGCAAAAATTTCAGAACTAATTATGCAGTTTGCATGCCTGTCATTTTTATACAAATATAACTGCAGGGAGTGTAATATTTTAATAGTAGGATGTTTTCTCATGTTCAGCTCCATAGTGTGGTCAATATTTTTGAGGTTTTGAAAAATTATTTGCTCTCTGTTCAGTTCTCCACCACTTTCATTGCAAAAGTCAGTCTGATATGTACCTGTCTGTGCTTTTAGCTTCCATGTTACCTCTGTATTTGAGGCTTTCAAACAAAAATCTTGAACACTTTTTTGTTTCTTAGTCACGTAACTTGCTTAATGTCACTTTTTTAAGCATGTTGAGTGATAACCTGGGAAAGATGTGGAAGGGCACAATTATCTCCTGTTTTAATGTACTGTCCCAGCATTTGGTGGGACTGAAGAAAACCACAGAAAATCTCACTCAAGATAGCTGGTTTTCAGTTCATGATTGAAACTCAGGACCTCCCTATATGAGGTGGCAGTAATTATTTTAACCTGTGTGAATTTTACTCCATTATAAGCTGCAAGACAAGTCTCAGGCCTGTTCCATTTAAGAACAAATCCTTCCACCTTCTGCTGTGTCATGTATACTGCATAATTTTTTTATCTAACCTATTATGTTCCGTGATATTCAGTGCCATTGGTCTTAGTGTCCTTATTATTCTTTCTTCAAAATTAAAAATTCCCAATTGGGTGCTCATGGCATTACAGTATTAATGATTGCTGCAGAGTCTGTGTCTAGATGCTAATTGTTACTCGTTGTTTGTCAGAAGGTTCTTTCCATCTGCAAAATAAAAAATTGATATACATGCTGAGATCTTGCAAGAGAACAATATTTTCACTCTTATGTACAAAAATGTGTTTAATATCTGCTGCCTTGAAAATGGTATTTTCATGGATGACAGGGAGTAGTAATGTCATAGTCAGCCTGTTTCTTTGTAGCGTAGAAATTGTTAGCGTTCTTATAACTTCCTCATCAAAATCATCTCCAGCTGCAACAGTCTTCCTCCTTGGTTATGATTGTCCTTACTTCCTCCATCCCTTCTGCCACACCTGCACAGCTTCCATCATTTCTTTGTCCGAGGTGAATCAGCTGCCCGTTAATGCCTCTTTGTGTGGACCAAACAAGTAATAGTCAGAAGATGTGAGATTGGGACTATACAGAAGATGAGGCATTACATCAGACTTGAGTTTCTGGAGGGTTTCAGCAGTGTGGGCAACAGTATGTGGATGGACAACATCATGCAACAACCCAGCATCTTTCAACAGTAGTCCTCAGCATTTGTTTTTAATTGGAAGTTGAATTGCAAGTTGAATTGCAGTCAGTAAGCATCTCACTGTAATGAGCTCTGTTTACTGGTTTCCCCCTCTCCTGCTAATGTTCCAGTACTGGGCCATGTGAGTCACCTGTGCAGAAATAATATACCAAAACCAAGCATTATGATGCTACACAAAACAATAGTGCTACCAACAGATACACAAATACAACTGCATTGCGGATAATTATTGACTTTCCCTCATATAAGACACCAGGCCACACCTGGAATTATCCGCACATCATTCAGCTCTTAGGCTTTAGACATAATTCGCTACTGACAGGACATTGGAATGCTAAACATTCATTGTGGCATAGCATAGTTTCCAACTCTTCAGGTGCAAAACTACTGAATTTTCTGCATATAAATAAGTTTGAAATTTTGGCATCACAATGTTCCACTCATTACTCTCCTGCAGGAAATAGTGACATGCTTGATATTGTTTTGCGCAAGAATGTTCGGTTGTCAGAAGTCATTGTCTCTGACATTCCAGACTCAGGTCACCTACCAGTCGATTTCCACATGCTGGATCATGTTAGAACTAGGAATCTTTTAGGCCCAGTTGACAGATTCACAGATTGAGAGCGGTTTCAAAGCCTGACCTCTGAATTAATTTCACCTAGAATCAAAATTAACTTAGGGGAAGAAGCTGATTAAGCAGCCCACAACTTTACTGCTTCTATAGCTTCAGTGTACAGGCCATCTACAAGCAAAATTACACTCTCAGACATTAATAAGGATCTGTCTGATCTGAAGAGTCTCCTAAAACATAAGCAGAGCTTAAGGAAACTGTAGCAAGTAACCCACGATCCATTTATGTAAAATGGCAGTTAATTGGGTTATCAAAACCATCAGACAAATGACCTGTAGGAAGGCATTTGAATGGTGGGAGCTTCAAGCTCTGTGGCCTGTTGCAAAGTCACTTATGAAAAGGGATGGACCAAAGGCAGCAACCACTGTTCATGGACCATGACAAAAACCATCAGTGACGGGTGGCGACTAGAGTCCAAGCTCTCGTCGCATCTGTAGGCCACACCACGTTGGGAAATGTAAAACCTTGTGACATACATAAATTAGGAAATTCATTTAAATTGAGAAAGGCTTATGGACTTGATGGTGTTCTAAATGAATGCCTTGGGCATCTTCCGAGAAGACCAGTGGTACATCTGACATTTATTTAGTCACTGCCTTCAGCTGTCCCACTTTCCAAAGCCTTGAAAGGAAGCAAAAGTTACTTCCAAGTAGCCTCTTGTCTACAGCAGGCAAGCTATTCAAGAAAGTTATCCTGAAAATAGTCCAAAGGCACATTGAAGAAAGAGGCCCGCTTAATGCAAGCCAGTTTGGTTGCTATGCCTGTCACAGGACAACAGTTCAATGTACAAGACTTACAGACACATCACATTGAATTCTGACAATAAGAGGTCTATGGCAGCGGTATTCTTGAATATTGAAAAAATGAAATCTTTGATACAACATAGCACCTTGGCATGCTGTACAAATTAGCTATCCTTGTAACAGGCCGTAAAGGCCCATAGGGTTGTGAGATGTTGAGGCTACCACATTTTCTTTAGACAGCTGGCTCACAGATGGCGGTAAGGTTGTCACACTTACACGCTGGCCACCCTTCACCCCTCAGGAAGAGTCATGATACTCAATTATGTTACAGGCTGAGTCAACCCCAGGGCCATAGTGCAGCTGGATGGATTAGGTAAATAAAAAAAAAATCCATCTCATCGGGACTCGAACCCGCGACCTTCCAGCTTGTAGCATAGTGTCTCAACCAACTATATTACCCTGTGCCCCCAGCTATATATATATTATCTGAATAAAATATTTTGACCAGTCTAATCAAGCGTATAAGCTTTTTTCTTTCTCGGAGAATGTTTGGAGTCTTGATTGAAGGTGAAATGTCTACGTCAAGGGATATACAAGCAGGGGTGCCACAAGGTCCCGTCCTGCCCCCGACTTTGTAAAGTATATATATATATATAAAGATACATACTAAACACCTGGTGTCTGTCTAGGTCTCTTTGCTGATGGCACCTGTATATATGCAATAGACTGCAAAGAGGATTGTGGTCTCACAAAGCTGCACCACGGTCTCATTGCTGTTGAGACGTGTTGTGAGCACTGAAACATGAAAACCAATGAAAATAAGACTCAGGCCATCTACTTTTCTCATAGACTTATGCCCCCTGAGGCTCATCTTACAATGAATGGATGGAATATCCCCTTCGTCAGTCTCCATTATATGGAGACTGCACATAAAAATGATTGAAGCAAAGCCCTTCAGAACTTTTATTAGAATCTACTCCCTAATCAAAAGTGACCGTTTAAGCACCAACTGATCAGATCAATAATAACTTATGTTTGCTCCTCCTGAGAATTAGCAGCATGCACCTACCTCTTAAATTGTAGTGCTTGCAACAGAAGGTTCTTCACACCATTGGAAAATTTTCAAGGTGCACACCAGTCTGTGACGCATTTGTACAAATTGTGTAGGCAGTAAGCAGAAGTCATGCAAAATCATGAGAACAAACATGTTCACAGTATAGGACAAAGCGAAGCCAGTCATAGAAAATATAAGCTGCTTAAACTTGGCAGTGATCAAGCTTATGACTTTTCAAGTGACTAAGTTTCTTTTGTACAAAAGATACGTAAGATAGACATGATCTGCTTTGCAAAGCCAAGACTGACAGAGGACTTGTACAAGGTCCGTATAAAAAGTATCGGGAAAAATCTTTCCCTTACGTGACTGTACACCGCAGCACGCTCGCAACGCGCAGGCATGGTAGTGGGGGTCTAACCTTTAACACATTCCAAGTGCCATTCGCCTGAGCGCGTTCATAGAGGCCAGGCCGTGTTTTCAGTGGATCCCTGTCAAGTGAGTTGGTGCAAGCGCAGAATGCAGTGAACGATTGAACAGAGGTACGCCATCAAGTTTAGTGTTGGACTGGGGAAATCGGGTACGGAGACATTGGGCATGATTCGCCAAGTGTTCAAGGATGAAAGCATGTCACAAACTGCAGTTTTTAAGTGGCACAAGCTCTTCAAAAGTGGCCGACTGAGTGTGGAGGATGAGCCCCGCGGTGGACGGCCGTCGACGTCAAGAACCAACAACAACGTGCAACGTGTGCGTGACGTACTCAATTCAGACTGTCGGTTAAGTGTGCGCATGATTGCAGATCGTGTTGGCATTGATAAGATGACGGTGCACACCATTATCACTGAAGATTTGGCGATGCGAAAGGTCTGCGCGAAACTCGTCCTGAAGGTCTTGACGGACGACCAAAAGCAGAGACGAGTGGCTGCTTGCGAAGACCTTCTGCAACGCGTTGAGGAAGACCCCAACCCCCCTACAGTCCCGACTTGGTACCAGCAGACTTTTTCCTGTTCCCGAAAGTGAAATCCTCCCTCAAAGGGCACCATCATGGGACCCTGAGTGCCATCAAAGAGGCTTGCATGCGGACCCTTAAGGACCTTCCGGAATCCGCCTACTAGGGAGCCTTTGTGTCGTGGCAACGCTGTTGGCAAAAGTGTATCGATGCACAAGGGATGTATTTTGAAGAATTTTGAGGCATTGTAGCAATATCTGAAATAAATCTATTTTCCCGGAACTTTTCCCGATACTTTTTATACGGACCTTGTATATAGCTCAAAAGGAAGAATTTTCAATAATATGATATATGTGCAGTATGTACACTTGACAATAGGCTAGGAATATTCATAATAGAAACCCATCCTTTCATAGGAGAGGATGTTACATAAAGACTATGACCACAAGGGTTTAGTTGCAAAAAAAAAAAAGAGGTCTGCTCATGGATATAAATATGGAGACCTAGTCCTCCAGGTATGGGGAGTCTCTGTCTGGGAATAAAATGTGGTCTTGAGTCCCACAGGACACAGACCCTAGAATGTGCTGGCAAGGGCCAGGATCAGTTGTAAATGACAGACACATCCTCTCATTAGAGAGGGTGCCCCACAGCAACAAACCAGCTACTCTCTGACAGTAATAAAAATCTGATCTTTGGTGCCATATGTGGACTTCACACCAAGACAAACTGGCTGACTGACCATCATTGTAACATGACATTGACTTTTACTTGATGTCCTTAGCAATCATTTGAGAGATTCTGTAGGCAGACAGGCAAGAAGTGGAAAGCTTGTAGCTGAGGCGAGGGACAGTTCGGGAACCCAGAGGAAAGGAAACATCAGCCATTGGAAGTCGCTACCAAGCAGCATAATGAAGTCTGTGGCTGAGAACATTGGCTTGTGTGTGATAATGATTTGTAAAGTGTAGTCATGAGTTGTTTAAGAGTTCAGTAAATCTGTTTACCAATCCAAACCCTGTCTGTAGTCACTCTGTCACATGGCAATATTTACTTTTCATGATTTTACATCAGAACACATCTTCATGTTTAAAGGAAATAACTTTCTTTCCCATTGTTGTGTGTTGAGATACACATGTATTTAATTCATGAGAGAAGCTAATGAAAGAAGGCATCTGTAAATCAAAGTGAGAATAAGTGAAGATAGGATAGGGAAAAATTCACTGATAGTAGGACAAATTCACAAAGAATATTACAGTTTATGTGTCATTGTTGCCAGCAAAATGAAAATATTTAAATTAATTTTGTTGTGAAATATAAATCTATTAATAGGGCAGATCGTTGAAGGTAACTCTGTGATATAATTTAGATCTAAAGAGAATAACAAAGAATTTTATATATGTAGAAGTATAATAACTCTAATCTAATATATTTTGTCCTTTTGTTCTCATTTTAGGTGGAAGAGAGGACGGATTGCAAAGGTACTAGGTGTACCTGTTAAAGCTGTGCGTATTTATTCCAATCACTATGGCCCCAATTGCCACAAGAAGTATGTAAGCGTAAATTTCCCAAATCCTCAGTGTCTGAAGGTAAATGACAGTTACAATAAATTTCTGTGTGGTCAAATTATGTGCTAATTCATTCTGTTCCTTCCCTTCTATCATCCTCTACTGACTACACAACAATAAAGCCAATGCAGGGATAATGTATGGTTTAAATTCATGATTAAACTGAAATGAGTGCTTTTTTATTTTAATCCAGGGTATTTGAATCTTAAATATTTGTTACTTCTGTTGGAGGACCAATTTTAATGAAGATCCTTAATGATAAATGATGGCCACACTGATGTATTTTGTCATGACCATTGCTTCCTTCTTAACACATGCTGCATAGGTAACAACGTACATAAACTGAATTACTGGAACTAAATACAGAGGTGATTCATGTTGCATCCTGACCATTTGAAATTCAGAACAGATTGAATGTTGCTAACTTCTTCATAATGCCTAGGCACTGTTAATAGGTAAAAATGTTGAAAGTTTATGACAGATGTCAAGTGCTATATTTAATAGAGTAAAAATAAAAGTGCAAGGACTTTATCTCACCTTGCAGAAGTACTAAGAAATCAACAGATTTGTGAACTACAGGATACAAATATGTGAGTTTGGTGTTCACTGACAAAGAAGACATTGAAAATTTGATTTTATATGTAAGATGCATGAAGAACAGTGAAATATGACAAGTGTTTTTGTCAGTGTAAACTCATGAAAATTCAACTGCAGATGGCTACATGGATGCCACTGAAAAATAATTGGAAATGTGCAGTTTCGGGCTGGCTATTTTACTGTGAGCAATTTTGTATCTGTACCAGTGGTGATGGCAGTATAATTAATCAGAAAGTGGCCTGATAGAGGAAATAAATAAAATGTATGCCATATATGCATTCATTTTGTTGCACATTGGTTAAATGTAAACATGCTAAGTAACTGAGAAACTGAAACTTTATTGATGAACTTGCTTCAGTTTTGAAGGAGCTGTACAAATTCTGTCAGTATTCCCAAAAGAGAATGTGACAACCGATACACATAGCTGAAAGTCTTCAAAGCAATATACAGAAGTTTCAATACTTAATACTGTGTATAATTTGTGTATTGGTACTGTCTCACTGCTTCTGAAATACTGAAAATGCATCACAGTACACCAGGAAAGAAGGCAGTGATTTGCTGTTTGCCAGGATTTCAGAGCAAAAGCTAACCAGTTTTAAATTTATTCCTGTATTGGGTTTACTCATGTGATACTTTTGAGATACATAAGAACAGGGATGGAAATGTCTCTGCAGAACTAGATAGATACTCAAGATCTGTAGAAGAATCCAAAAAATGTCCATATTTTTTATCCACACATTTATTACGAGTATAACAGTGACCCAAAGAAATAAAGAAAACACTTAAAAAAAGACTGCATTTGCGAGATGCTCACTGAACCAGTCAGGGGAGAACTGACTGAGCAACTGCATGTGCGACCAAGCAGAGAGAAAAGGTGACCATGTGTTGGCCATGTGATTCTTTGTTCTACAGTGCGTACAATCAAGTGCGCGCCGCGGCTGCAATTTGCCGTGAGTCATACCACCGCAGAACGGATGCAGTCGCGGGGAGGAGTTGCAACACTCCCCGCGACTGCATCCGTTCTGCGGTGGTATGACTCACGGCAAATTGCAGCCGCGGCGCGCACTTGATTGTACGCACTGTAGAACAAAGAATCACATGGCCAACACATGGTCACCTTTTCTCTCTGCTTGGTCGCACATGCAGTTGCTCAGTCAGTTNGCCCCCTCAAAGGCCTCGACGGGAACCTCATTTAAAGCTGTTGTCATGGCCGCTTGGATGGCCTGAATGCTTTCAAAACGGCGTCCTTTGAGTGCAGTCTTGATCCTCGGGAACAAAAAGAAGTCGGCTGGAGCTAGGTCGGGGCTGTAGGGTGGCTGCGGCAGCGTTGCCACGTGGTGCTTCGCCAGGAACCTATGGACGAGCAGAGACGTGTGGCTGGGCGCATTGTCATGATGCAGCCACCAGTTAGCGATGTCTTTTTGCACGCGTATGACCCTTTTCCTTAATCTTTCTAGAACATCCACATAGTAGGGAGCGTTGACGGTCCGTCCTTGGGCTCCTGGCCGTCCAGAGTGGGGGTCAACTTCCACTCCTTCCTGGCCCTCCTTAGACTTCTTCACCCACCTTGTAACTTGCACATATGATAGAGCAGACTCCCCTAGGCTTGCTTAAGCAGTTCGTGAGTTTCGGCAGCTCTTTTGTTGAGCTTTGTGCAAAACTTGATCGCCCAACGTTGTTCAAAAGTATCCGCCATCGCACGCCGTGATGTGGTCACAAAACACAGGTGCACTAAATCAGCGATACTGACACCTCCGATGCTCGAGCAGACTGACCTTGGGCACGCTGTGAAGCTAAAGCCCCCCCCCCCAACCCAACCGGTTCCAGCGTGCTCCGACCAGTAGGAGCGCGGGAAAGAAATATATTTCATGACTTTTGGGACACACCTTGTAGCCATTGCAACACAGTGGTGTTGGGAAAAATTCTAGCACTCTTGCTTAGCATCAAACTCTAGTCATACAGTTGCTTAATGTTCCTTGGATGTATGCAAATTTGAGAGCATAGTAAAGGGGGTGAATTAACCATCTTGATTATCCAAATGAGAGAACAGCACAAAATGTTTTGTACACATTGTGAAGTTTCTAAGCTAGAATAAATCTGATTTTCTGTAAGAGCTGTGGTGACTTAACAAAATCTATCAACTCTTGTACATCTTGGGTTTCAGAAAATCATGAGTTGTGCACACAGAATTCCATCCTCAGGATGGTTTGTGACAAGAGGATTGGAACGTTGGGCAAGAGTACAACAAAGACGTTCGGAGTCATTCCACCAGTAAATATTTTTTATTGACATTTGTTGCATATGGAGATACTTGTATGTCACATTATGAATGAAGAATGTATGCAGAAAAAGATTTCTTTTGTATAATAATAAAATTTCTTCTTGAGCAGTTGCACGTTGTGACAGGCTTCTAGATATCCTTCACATAGTGGGGGTGGAGTCCAGTTGGGTCCCCTCGGCACAGCAGCCACTGATTGGCCTATTGTACCTGCCCTGGGTGGTTATGTTGATGGAGAATTTGGTGGATTGAAGATTGGCAGAGAAAACCTACCCCAGCGCCACTTTGTCCACCACAAATCCCACTTGACCATGCCTGGGTTTGAACCCTGGCCGTTGAAGTGGGAAGCCAGCAACTAACCACTTGAGCTAAGGTGTAACCTTTCTATATATCCTTATTCAGAAATCAATATCACATTTATTCAGTCACTATGGCATTTCTATCATGACCTTGTGGAACTGCAGAGTGCAGACCATCTCTTGTGTCCTGTCAGATGTATTGCAGTTTGTGTTTGGAACCGTCACTGATATGACAGACATTTTTGGTCAAGCAACCAAAATTATATGAAGCATGGTGAATCTGGTCTCATTGACATTTTTATTTCCATATTTATAATCTATTGATCAAGAGCATCATAATTGCCCATAAATTAATATAAATATTACCTGTTCAGTATGAATACTGAGTATAACAAAAAATACACTGGAATCCCCATTTAATGTTCTTGATTTAAGGTTTTTTTCTCATTTAATTTTCCATTTCAGTGACCCTAAGTTAATAATCTATGTGTAAAATTCCCTTCATTTAAGACTTCTTAAGCTTAGTGTTGAACTTCACCGCTTCGAGAAATTGGGATTTCACTGATTAATTTTTTTTTTTTGTATCCTGTTGCGTGAGTATAACTAATAATACATATCTAGGTATCTGTGACAAATAATTAATGGGTTGTGGATTTGACAGACCTGTTTTATTGGATTAGTTTAAGTTGTAGCCACAGAGAATTATAACTCTCCAAATTATTACAAAAACAGTAACGCATAAAGCAAGGTCTTCACACTTCAATTCTAATCTTCATTTGTAGCCTCCAGGACTCTGCTGTTGGATTCTGTCTGTCAGTTCATTATCTTCGCTTCTCTTATAATCTGCTCTTGAACCATGTAGGAGTCACTAGTCTCTCAATTGCTTTGAACTCCTAGCGACTCAACTGCTGAGCTGCTTTGAACGATGTCTTCCTGTCAAATCTCTCGAACAATCTTCGCTGCTCCCTATATAGGCTCAGCATGGACCACCCACAGAAAACACATCACTTCTCAGCAACGGATATCATGTATTGCTGTCAGGTGTGTCCACGCATGCATTGCCTAGCAATGGACGCGCTGTTATTGCGCATTCGTTGCTGTGATATGTGTTTACCGGTCAGTTACCCAGCAATGCTGTGTCCATCCACGTTATAATAACAAATTCTACCATCAACAAAGGTATAATTTATTAACTTATATTCCACTACATGTTTCAACCCTTGTAGTGTCATCCTCAGGAGTTGTGATTTACGCATTTTCATTATTAAATTGTAAAACGTGTATTCATATTTATGTACATATACTTAAAATGACTACTTTTTATGTACATTTATTCTAACTTCAAGATATTGATGTAACTACTATGAAAATTAATTTAAAAGTGTCATATACTGTATTCAGCTTAGTGTCTGTTGCTTTAGTAGACAAACCATCTTTTCATCTGATTCTTCTATTATTGGCTAGGGCTGGTAGAGAGTTCTGGAATGGGATGGGTTGTGAATGTATGGATTAGCCTTTATTAAGATGTCATATATTGGATTATGAGTGTCCGTCATTGTTTTGTTCATTTGAAAACCCTGATATGTTATCAAATATATATGATAGTTTTCTGATGTATTTAGAATTTGTCCTTTTCTTTCCACCTGTAATATTTTCATGGTGTGCTCCATGTTGTTATGGTTGTTATAGTTGCAATGACAGTGGAATTTGTATTATTGATTATATTTTTCATTAACTGTTATACAGGTATCCCTGGAAGGTCAGTATTCTGGGATGTAATAGTGTCGGTCATTCTAAGCAAAGAAAGTGTATGAGTATATCTACATATATCCTAACGCATATGGTTTCAATAGTATGAGGTCTAGAAAACTGAGATTAATGGCCGTGGGAATGTGTTGTGCTGACCACACAACACCCTCTATCTGCATAAGTTGGCAATGATTTTGCTAACAAGCAGCAGTGGCTCAGTCAGTATGGTTAGCTTGCGGACTAAAGGCACGGGTTTTTTTTTTTAGGGACAGCATGTAATATCTCTTCCTTATCAACAATTTTGGAACTGTACAGTGAAGTAGTTTTATCTGGGAACAGGACACGTGTACCTATACACTTTTCTGCATAGAATGACTGATTCTGTGACCTCTCAGAATGTTGATCTTTCCTCCTGTGGCACTCTGTATATTCTTGCTATACATACTATACAAGTTCAAGGTATCCCATGGACTACCAAGACTGATGGGAGAAAAATGTAATTGTTATGTCCCCCTTGATCAGTTAGTGGTGTACAGCAAAATGGGACATGAAAACTTGATTATCACAAAAAAAAATGAATTGTAGTGTCAGGTATTCACTGAAGAGAAACTGGATGAAATTGGTGCTAAGCTTCCCTCTGACATCCCGCACAGGAGACTGAGGGTGTAAAGCTCTAAGTTTACTGTATTTCTGAAGAAAGTCTTAGTCCATGAATATTAACTTTTTACAGAGGTGCCAGGAATATGTGTATAATAGCATTTCCAACATCTGCTGTGATCTGACAAATTTTGTTTGTAATGTGTTCAGGCTTGTTTCTCACTTCTGCCTGTTGTCCTTATCTGTGTGGTCCACATTGAACCAGAACAGGAAAACTAGTTGTGGCCACTCTATTTTAATTACCCACTAGTACACAATTGTGTCTGAAGTCAGTGTGACTGTTATCAAAATATGGAAAGAGACCAATAGGAAGACCAAGATGTAGGTGGGTGGACAATATTAAGATGGATCTTAAGAGAGGTAGTTTGGGGTGGTATGGACTGGATCGATCTGGCTCAGGATAGAAACCAGTGGATGGTTTTTGTAAAAGCGGTAAGAACCTTCGGGTTCCGTAAAATGCTGGGAAGTTCTTGAGTAGCTTCCCAATTGGCTGCTTCTCAAGAAGGGCTCAGCTCCATTAAGTTAGTGAAACACATCAAATATAACACTTTTTTTTTGCCCCCGACCCACTACCAATACTGACGCGAGGGAAAGCAGCCCGACTTCGACGCCTTCTCACAAATGTAAATCAAGCAAATGCAGCACACAAGTTCGTACAGGGCGTGTGCATTACTTCCATTGCGTTGTATTCTGTGTAAAAGTTCACTGAACACACTTGCGCGCGAGCTTACAGCCTTCTCATAAATCCAAGAGATGGCGTAGAGATAGCCATTCGCCACCGAAACCGTATGACTACGTATGACCTTAGTTGAAAATTAGAAGAACCAGTTCTTGCTCTCATGAATTGAGTTATAATATTAAAATATTTTATAGATACTTTCATTCCACAGTTTTTTATATTTACTTTTTTGTGATATAAAATATGTGCATTACAGTACATAGTGAATCTTCGCCTGCTGCATTATTTTAAGTTGAATATGACTTTCGTAGTATCGCCCCTCCTCACTGGCTTACCAGATTTCAAAGCAACAGTTAGTGAATTCCGTGGCACTGGTAACGTGTGAGTGGACGTGTTGGCGATTGATATTTCCATGATTCTGCAAGATAAGTGCTCAGGTGTTTGATGTAATACGAAGATCTGTATTTCATTTACGTACATTATATTGTGTAAAAATGAGTAAAAAGTGTGCGAAGTGTGAAAAAACAGTTTATCCCATAGAGGAACTAAAATGCCTCGACAAGGTGAGATATGAAGCTTCCAGCTTTTTTTTTAATACTTGAATTAGAAGCTAAGCATTACAGATTCGTTCTTATTGTGTAAATCCTACTTTACGATTGTACTTTGCTGCAGATTTTGGTTTAACGGTTACTCTTAAATTTCACAACGTGTTCAGAAGTGTAAGGCACTATTTAGCAGGTTCAAAATAAATGTCTTGTGAATCACACACTGTTATTGATGATTATTTCATCATATAGCCGCCTGTAGTGAAATGGTGAAAATTACCGTGGTTGGTGCACATGGCCTTGTCTTCTTTACCTTTGACATAAGGCCTTTTTATTGCTAGAGGTTACGCGGTAGCGTAGTTTGTTGAAGCATTATGCTACAAGCTGGAAGGTCGAGGGTTCGATTACCGATGAGCCTCGACCTGTCGCAACCTTATGGGCCTGTTACAGGGGTAGCTTTACCTTTACCCATTCATTGCTCATTCCTAAAAGTTGCTTACACTAGTTACTGCTTTCTGTGTTCATGTATTCACACTCACTAGATAAGTCGGGATGTATATGTTGTGGTAGTTGCGTTTCCTCACATTTAGAATCGTTTACTTTGCTGGGTATCAACTTTATATTACAAGGGAAATAACCATTTCCTGTCATGTCCCAATCCAGTTTCAGAAATCAGATATTGTGCAGCTGAGTGCATTTGAAAACTCTGCAACGGTATGAGCTTAGCATATTGCATAGTTAATGGAATGCCCGAAGGGAAGAAAATATACTTCATATATATGAAAACAAATTCTGCATTGAATATCTGAATATCAGAGATTATGTAAGCTGTACAATTTATTATCTGGTACTAGGATACCCTAATTATGTAGCACGAATGGGGGAGACAAGGAATGCGTATAGGATATTGGTGGGAAAGCCAGAAGGAAAGAGACCACTGGGAAGACCAAGGCGTAGGTGGGTGGACAATATTAAGATTGATCTTAGTAAGATAGGATGGGATGGTATGGATTGGATTGATCTGGCTCAGGATAGGGACCAGTGGAGGGCTCAGGTGAACATGGTAATGAACCTTTTGGTTCCATAAAATGTTGGGATTTTCTTGAGTAGCTGCAGAATTGCTGGCTCATCCAGAAGGGCTCAGCTCCATTAGTTAGTAAGTAAGTAAGTAATACCATAATTAAGACGTGAACCTGTGCCTTGTGTTGGAATTGTGATGATGGGATACACCAGTTGGCATGCAGATGCATGGATGTTGAAGATTTTGATTGGAGGATGACAGTAAAAGATGGTAGGGAAGGCAGGTGTGAGTTAGGATTGCATTGAATGTGGGCCTTCATCTTGGCAGTTTGGAATCATCATTCTGATACCATGCTTACTGGTTGATTTGTGTGGTGTGTTGTCTGAGCTGAATGATTTAGAAAATTATTAGAATCTCTTTGTTATTTAATGATTATTTTTTATTTGCATTGGTAACATGGCATCAAACATGTGTGATGTATTATGAGCTTTTTTATACATAATTTCCTCAGTCCTTCCAGGCTAAAGCTGGCATAGTACTTCCAAACAGGCCTTGACTTCTATCTGTTAAATTCTTTCAAGTTCATTATGCATAATCATCTAATTTCATTTACTCCTAGATAGTATTTATATTTGACAAACAAAATAATTTTTAAAATATTAATTATATATATGCACACATTCATTCCATAGATCCAGAATTTGTCAGATGTATGTAGTATGTGTCTGAGTCATAAAATGTTTAAAAATACAAAACATACGAGTGCTAAAAGTGTATCTGATTATTGAATAACTTTAAAGTAAAGGTCTAAATGTAGGCTATAAAGAGTTTTTAAACATTAAATATTTGTTGTCAGAATGATAACAGTGCATAAATTTAAATTATGCATTTGTGTTTTTAATGCTCATATTACTGCAAGGTAAATTAATAAAAATATATGCGGGCATAAAATTCGCTTCTGTGGGAGCAAGTAAGATTAACTTGGGCTATGAAGACGATTTTTTGTTTTAGCACTGCTTCAATAAATCTGTTTGAAAATATCTCTGGTTTTTCAAAATGTGTTTGGATGGATGAGGTGAACCTCTTAATTATGCTTTGACCTAAAACACTAGGTGTGGTGCCAGCCCTTTTTTGAGGGGGAAGTATGAAGGTAAAAACAAACATCATTTTAGGGTTAAATGAATTACCCCCAAAATTACTCCATTCTTAATTATAAACTCAAAATAAATTAAGTATGTCAAGATTGCTAATATGAAACATTCTTCTAACTGGATAATATTACCCACTTAGCTTAGGAATCATCTCATTAGTATGTAACTTCCATTGTAGGTGGCCATCAACTTGCAAACCTGAAAGTTCTGTATAAGCTGTTTCTTCTGTATATTTTCCATTACACCTGATATTTAATACTCACCACCTCCTAGGTATGAGGTCAAGGTTGGTGGTGCTATTACCATTCCATTCCTTCATGTATCTTCATGGCATGGTTCTTAAGTATTAAGCACAGGGACAACTTTACCTATACTTGGTACTGCATTTTGTAAAGAATTATTCGTTGCAAATTGTACTACATTTGTTTCATTAAGATTTAGGAACAATTTATTAGCATTAATTCAGGTACTTACAAGATAATAGACAAAATTTGACATTGAAGAGAAAGTAATTTAAACACTAGTGTCATCAGCATATATTAGAGGCCCCAGTAAGGCATTTATTATTATGGGAAGGTAATTTATGTGTTATAAATGGCAGTGACCCCTTGGGGACCCCACGTTGAACTATTCCCCAATTTAAAAAGACATCTTGAATTTCATGGAAAGATGTAATTTCTTACAATTAATACTTTGCTGGACATTATCCATCATCTTGTCTATTCTAAAAACAGTCTAGTTTCTATTAAAAAAACAACGTTTCGAGAACTGGAATCTGTCCCCGTCTTCAGGTAAAACCTACTCAGTTGGGTCCAATAGACAGAGCTAGCCCCTATCTCC